AAAACGGAGAGAATAGAGAGACTGTCCCAGCTTCGCAGTGCGCTTCGGCCCACACGTGTCACCGCCAGCAAGTCTGTGTCAGGCGCTCAAGGCGCTTCAAAGAATCGAAAGAGCGCTTAGCCGAGGCTGCGTGGCGTGAAGAGTAGCCGTCCCTGAGGAGTGTTGGTCATTCGGTCGTGGCGCGGAGAGGGTGCATCGCCGTGCACTTTCAAATCGTACCGTTTCAGAACACTGTACACAGCCTGTTGCGGCGGTGAAAGAAGAATGCGCGCGTTGCTTCAGCCAAGCATGTCCCGCGCAACAGTGCCAACAGGGTCAAGGGACGAGTCCGGGCGCTTGTACTCACCATCTTGATGATCTTGTCCGCAAAGAACTGACCAACGCATTTGCGTGGCCCCATTCCAAATCGCCACAGAGAGTAGCGGTAGTCGGAAGCCTTGAGATCGCGGAAACGAGTCGGGTCAAATTCCAACGAGTCTGTCCCCCACACCTCACTGCGGCGGTTGAGCGTCCAGGCGTCGATGATGACGGGCGTCCCAGCCGGTAGTACGCCTCCACCAGGTAGCACCTTGTGCTGGCCTGACTGCTCGGGCAGAGAGAAGAACGTCGGTGGCGAGAGTCGCATCGATTCCATGATCGTCCAGTGTAGAATCGTATCGGTAGCACAGATGTAGTCGGAGAAGAGGACATCCGGCCTTGTCGTCGCCGACTCCTGCGTCACAAAGTCTTGGAGAAGCCAAGGCTGTACACCAGGGGTCTGGGCGATGTGGATCAACGTCCAGGCGATGACTGCTGCGGTAACATCAATGTTTGCAAACAGGATCTCGTCGATTGCTGTGTCAGACGGGCAAGGAAGGATTCGGTCAAGGCCAGGTCAGCAACGGTCTTCCTGTGGTTGCTGCATCACTACGACCCGCAGCATCTACGTTGCCTGGACTTACTTTGTGTGAATTCGTCCATCGTCATCGTCTTGTCCTTGACTCGCGAATGCATCTCCGCCGCCGGAGAGTTGGTATCTTTGGCAACCATGTCGAGGCAGAACTGCGCAAATTCCCGCTGGAACTGGCCCATGATCCTATTGGCGCGCGTCCAGAAACAAGCCTGATAAGCCGCATGCTTGGCCCACCGATGCAGCGCCGCATACTGGAAGATCTCCTCGTGCAGCTTGACCATGCTCCACAGTCTTTCGAAGTTTTCTTCCTCAAGCACCACGTGCCCGAAGATGGCAAGCGAGATGATCTTGAACGGCAACTTGCTCGTAGCCTCGATAGCTTCGAGATCGAATGAGCTCAGTCCGCCGCTGTCACTCAGGCTCTCCGCCCAGTCTTCCACCAGACCCAGCATAGCGGGACCCAGCGAAAGCGACACGCGATGGGTGAAGTGCGGATCAAAGATACCGCGCAGCAACGTCCAACGCTCGCCGTCAATCGCACCCACGCATTTGCCCAGCAGCCGGCCAAAGTAGTGACCAAATCCGATGCTATCGCGCTTGGTGTGCAGCTTGGCGTCTCGATGGTAGAACGACATGACCTGAGCGGGAGTCGAGAGCACCACTTCCGTGACTCCACCGTTGCGCGTCCAGTGGGGCTGAGTGCCGTATCGACTTCGCCATTCGTCAGATAGCTCCTCTCCGTGGCTGAAGCGGCTGAATCGAGTGTCTTTCGCATCTCCCGAGAGGTTCAAGCCAGCCGGTGGAGAGCCGATCTTCCAGAATGGGGTCGCCAGGTTGACTCCCTTCGAAGAAGAAGGTGCGATTCGAGTCAGCAGAATCGACAGAACGACCAAAGGCACAAGCCATCGGAAGACCGCACCCTCGCCAAGGCTGTCGAGAAGAGCAATAGCAACGGGTGGCAACGGCGTCTGGGATACACCCTTTGCAAGGTAAGTTGCAAGGCGAGGGTGGGTCATCGCGCTGTTTGAGAGGGTGGGGG